CAAAGATTCCTTAAGGAAGGCTTTTTTTGTGAAATTAAAGCTTTTCCACTTGAGGAGTTCTGGACAGAGCATTTTGACAGATGAAAACTATTTTTATCTTTAATTGCACATTCTTTTTTCTTTTATTTTTTACAATTTTGGTATAACTACTGCTCTGAGTGAGTTGCTCTGTCAGCTAAAGGTTTTAGAGTCTCTACACTCCAGTTAACGGTTAATCGATAACTATATTAGTTGTTTGTTCCAGTTGGTTTAATCTTTGGTTCTTTTGTGTATTTTCTATTGTTTCTCTAAGTCTTTTTTTGTTTGGTTGTTTTTTTTTTTTTTTTTTTGTAAATAAATCCCAAATAAAATGAGTCAGTAAACAAAAACAATGTGAAATCTGAAAGACAAATCTATGGAGGAAGGTAATGATTTGATAATGACAAGAAGGCCTGACTTCCAAAAATCTTAGAAGGCCATCCTTCAACATTATAAAAGGGTTTTATTTTTATCAATATAATAAATGTACCAATAATTCAGACATTCTGTTTGAATAAAATACATGAATGACACTCATTATACATGTTTTATAGTCTTTTAGGAAACACCAGTCTCCTTTTTAATGCGGAACAAACTTCTAGGTTTAATGAAAATATTTTAAATCTTAAATTGCCATGGGTATGAAAATTATTATTATTTGAATTATTATTATTTTGGTATGAAAACTTTGATATTAACTACATTTTTATGTCCCTTTTTCAATTTGATTTGGATGAAATCTGCTCAATTTAAAAACCTACACATGAATACCTAATTATAAGTTTTATTGTTGGCAGATTATAGTAGTTTAAATTGCAAAGTGACTAATCTGACCTAGAATGCTTTAGTTTATCTTTCTGTAAAAGTTCAAAAAAATCCACTGGACTTGGTTTCCAAGATTTGAAGACGTTTCGCCACCTCTCCAGGAAGCTTTCTCCATTCAAATGATAGATAGATGAACATTTGAATGGAGAAAGCTTCCTGGAGAGGTGGCGAAACGTCTTCAAATCTTGGAAACCAAGTCCAGTGGAATTTCTTTTTACTTTTACAGAATGACTATGACCTGGATGACTGAGAATCTTCATCAGTATATTTAGTTTACCTTGTTTACTTGTACAGCAGTCAAACCTGCACTTTCAAAATGAAAGCACTGAATATAACCAAATCCAGTTTATCTATTAAGGTCATATGTTGATCTTATGTAATGCTGTAGCATATGTATGTTAAAGTAGCATTAAATAAACTTAGATCAAAAATCTTGTTTTCGTGGTCATTTCACCCAGATCCCTGTGATGAGCCAGTGGCGGGGAAAGTTTTGCGTAAAACTGAATCTTACAAACCCTGCTGCTGTGAGCTGGTTCCTGGACAGAGTGGAGTCCCTAAAGGCCCATTTAGGGATGGAGTACATCATGCTGGAGGGAGGAGAAGGGAATCTGTTTGAGGATCAGGCCCTGCGACCACCACTGGCTCTGAGTGGAGATAAATACATCGAACTTCTGGCTGATTTGGCCACCAGCATAGGAGACTCCACCATCGTGACTGCAGGAACCAGGTAAAGCATCACCCTCCTTATGTGAGAGTATGACATTTATACTGTTCATTTCAAGGTTGGTTTATTATTAAAATTGCAGGTCAAGCCACAAGCCTCTGTTTGTGAAGATGACACCCCTGCAGTCTGACTGGAGTCCAATGGGTTTGAGGGCAATCATTCCCTCTCTGTTGCACCACGCTTTGGTGGGATATAACTTCCTCATTCCTGATGCAGTAGGTAATAAAACAACCCTCTTAATAACCGTAAAAACTCAACAAAAAAATGACAGTTTTGTTTATGTCTATGCCGTACCTTTAAACACTTTGTAGGCTAGCATCAGGGACTTGAATTTGATGCGGGCAGCCAGGGATAACCAGTGAAGCTCAATTAACAGAGGGGTGATGTGAGATTTTTTTCGGGCTGATTGAAAACCAGACATGCCGCCACGTTCTGGATCCTTTGTAACGGTTTTATTGTACAGGCCGGTAGACCGGTCAGGAGTGCGTTACAATAGCCAAGGCGGGAGATGTTGGGTTAGACATGGCCGGATCTTTCTTATGTTTGTAGTGTAGTGTGAGGTGACAAGATCGAGAAACGGAGGTAACGTGATCTGCAATGTTCATCAATCATCACAACCAAGTTTCTTGCTGCATTTCATGGAGTCATAGACAGGGATCCAGTCTGCTGGAGATAGCAGCCTTTCTTCCAGAGACAGGGATCCAGTTTTGATTAAATTCACAAACTTTCTGTGACTTGCAAAGAACTTAATGAAGCAATCGTTTTCTAAATTCCTCTGATGGGTGTTTGCAGAAAGAAAAACATTTTTCTTAAAACTGGAAAAACAGCCATCAGCTGAAAAAAAAGACAAAATAAAACCTATTGATTTCTTCTGCCCAACCCCTGACTTAATTGAAACCATGATTGTGCAGCACTTGGTTGAACACAGACCAGATAATGCTTTGATTTGACCAAGTGTGCTGGAGCAGAAATGCGTAACATGAGGGACCGTGAGCCCTGATGACCTATAGTCTGACAAAAAACTTACAAACAGTATTTTATTTATTAGAAAATGCAAGGCATTGTTTTCGTAGATAGAGCCCAACTTTTTAAAGTTCTAAATCTTTTATAACATTATGTCTAAATATTTTTTTTGAAAAGCCATATGTTGCATTAAGTGTAACAACTCTTACACTTTTTTTTTCCTCTTAGGAGGCTCTCTGTCTGGAGACCTGGTCACAGATAGGGAGCTGTTTATTAGGTGGTTGGAGATAGCAGCCTTTCTTCCTGTCATCAGTTTCCATACACCACCCTGGTTCTACGGCGATGAGCAGGTACTTTCACCTATAAACCAACCATACTCTTTATCAATCTCACATATAGCTTTTTTCTGCATTTTATGTGTCTAACTCAGTGAGTAACATATTCACTTATATTAGTAATTCAATTAAAAACAGAACAATCATATAAGGACTCATTACAGGGTGATATATTAAAAACATATTATTAGAAAACAAACTCTTTTTTTAATTTAAAAATATAGTATTGCCCTGATGATGAGTAAAACTACTGACCTGATCCTCCACAAGAAAGATAAAGAACTAAAGGTTACTGGTTTTAGAGCATCCATCCATCCATCCATTTTCTTTTACACGCTTGTCCCAAGTGGGGTCGC